TTTTAAAAATATATTTATACTAAAGTAGAACACTCTATCGAGAGCCAAATAAGCATGTCAAATGAACTGATTAATCTTTCATTAATATGAATTTCATCAGTAATTAAGATACATAGCAGAACATGAATTGTATATTACTATTTTCTTCATGTAGGACACAAAATATTCTAATACAAAAACAAAATCATACGGAAGTACATCAACATATATAAAAAGGAAATATATAATATTTAGGACAGACAAAAAGGAACGGATAATAACAAAAAAATAAATAAATTACTGCGCACACAAAATGATTTGCAAAGTTCATTTTTGCATGATAATCTCTCATCTTCCTCTTGTCATTTACATGAAGATCATGCTAGGTAATTTATAGAAGTAGCTATGATGACCTTTGGTTAGATAATTAATTTGCATTAAATTAGTTCAATGGTTTTAGTCCATATCAATTTTTTTTTAATGGAAAAACTTTTCAAATACTCCTGATTTTTACAATAGAGTAATTAATTATCAATGTGAATTTGATTCATGCACCACTCTAAATGAGTTATTTATTAAATATTTAATTATATTTTATAAAATTTATTTAATTATTTTAATATAAGGATAAAATGATAATTCAACTTTGAAGTTTGAATCTTTCCGTTTATATAATATAATATGAATTAGAAGATAAGGAAAATAAAAGCAAGTGGGGCATGTATGTTTGTATTATGTTATAGAGACGGATATTCGTCCAGGTTCAACCAATTATGCATCACTATTCATGAATTTGTCTATCTTCAAATTTAACTGAATCTTCTCTTCCAAATTTTGATATTCATCTTATATATTAGAGTATTTGATACTATCTAACAACTTTTTGTAACAAAGATTTGCATTTATAAAGAGAGAATAATGAAGAAGGAAGTATTGTTTCATGTTATTCATAAGGTTCCTTCAGGTGATGGACCTTATGTTAGGGCCAAATATGCTCAGGTAAATTTCCCAAATTTCAATTAATTCATCCCCTCTTAATTGAAAAGTTAAATAGAATAGCATATAATGTTGTTTACCTAAGTAAAAATCTATTCAAAACATGTGGACATGCATGTATTTCAGATAGTTGAGAAGGAGCCAGAGGCGGCGATAGTATGGTTTTGGAAGGCGATAAATGGAGGAGATAGAGTTGATAGTGCCCTTAAAGATATGGCTATAGTTATGAAACAACTTGATAGAAGTGAAGAGGCTATTGAAGCTATTCATTCTTTTAGATGTCTCTGCTCCAAACAGGCTCAACAATCCCTGGATAATGTCCTTCTTGATCTCTTCAAGGTATATATCAATTACCATTCCTCTTCATCTTTTTTTAGCCCGCTAACTTTTCAAAATTTGAAATTTATGAATTTTGAATTTTATTATTTTGAAGTTATATATAGAGAGTGCGTGTGTTTTTAAATATCACAAACTGTTGAATTCGACTAAACTCATAGTCAACGAACACTTAGCTCCGACCTTACATACATTATAAGGTAATAATTGTTCAAATTCATAAAAATTTAAAAAATAACCTTCAAAGTCTCATTTGGTATAATATTTTTCAATTTTAATAACTAGCTCATAAATATACTAAACATTATTTATTCATAATCTTTCTTATTTTGGTCATCACTATATAGGGGGAAACCACCAAATGATGTGGTACTATGAGTTAATAAAAGTCTTGAAAATGGAGATTTTTATTTTTATTTTAGTGAAGATCACTTTTATTCTATACTCTATGAAAATCCAAAATATTAGTTGGGACTGAATTTTGGATATTGGAGTTGGACAGTAAAAACCAAGAAAGGAAATTACATAGGAAAAGAGGAATTTAACGTTTCACTAATACAACTTTGGATGGTACATAAAGTGTTTCACTTACATTGTCACACCCTATATTAATTTTTTAATATACATGTGTGACGATCTCATCTACAAATTTAAGTGTTCAGATATCATATTGACTATTCCATCTAAAAGTTTAAAATAATAGAAAAAAATATTTATATATTATTTAATTATATTCTCGTTACATATATATTGCTCCCACTATATATGGACTAATTAATTATTGTATTTACATGTATATATGTAGAAATGTGGAAAAGTAGATGAACAAATAGCACTATTGAAACAAAAGTTGAGACAAATATACCAAGGGCAGGTCTTCAATGGTAAACCTTCGAAAACTGCTCGTTCACATGGCAAGAAGTTTCAAGTTTCTGTTAGGCAAGAAACAGCAAGAATTCTGGTAATTAATCACAACTATTATTATCTTATTTAATGAGTATTACGATATTGGCTTAATACATAACCAATCCCTTAATCTTGTCAGCATATATATTTTTTCATTTTAACGTACACTCGAACCAATTAATGTTTCGATATACATATTCTTCTCAGTAAGCCATACATTTTCAAAGTGATGATACAAGTATTATGTAAAATACAAAAAATATCACAAAATGAAAATACAATGGCATGTATACACTATATTATGCTTGTGCATAAATATAATATATTCCGCTATATTTTGTAAATACATAAATTATTGCTATTTTTCGTAATTAGTACAATTGTTACAGGGAAATTTGGGCTGGGCCTATACGCAAAAGGGGAACTTTATGGCAGCAGAAGTTGTGTATAAGAAAGCCCAAATAATTGATGCAGACAGCAACAAGGCATGTAATTTGACCCATTGTTTAATAAAGCAAGCTCGATATGATGAGGCTCGTAATATTCTTGAAAAAGTTTGGAGAGGTAATTATGCGGGTTCCGAAGATCCAAAAACAAGGAAACGTGTGGAGGAATTGCTAGTGGAATTGGACTCTAGACAACCACCACCATTTTTGCAAAATCTTCCAGGCCTAAATTTGGATGATGACTTTATGAATGGGCTTGAACATCTTATAAATGAATGGGCTCCTCCAAAATCAAGAAGACTACCAATATTTGAGGAAATATCTACTTTCAAAGATCAATTGGCTTGTTGATTGTTGTTCAATAGTTAGTGATATGTGGGTATTGGATAGATAAATGTGAAATAAGTGAGTTATTTTCAAATTAGGTGAACATAAATAAATAAATAATAGTCTGTGAACCATGTAAACTATGATGTAGATGAGATCTTGTGGCAAAGTTTGGAAATAAACTCTACTCTATTGTTTTTGTTGTTGCTAGTTTAACCTTCAATTTTCTGAAATCTATTAGTTTGATTGATTCAAAATTATGTTGAATACCTCTTTTTTAAAGAGGATAATGTTGTTCAACGGAAGCACATCTTTTTGTTGAATTTATTTGTGCAATCTTATATGAGAACCAGGATAAGTTGTCTCTAGCATGTGAAAGTAATTTTTAACTTTTCATATGATTGAATTGGATCACCCCAGACTAATTCAATAGTTGCTTCTTTAGCTCTTCAAACTTACATATATGTCAGTCGCACACCATATTCAGTTAACATGTCATTTTGTATATATTTTGGTGTGTAATAACATCTGATTCAACACATTTACCTATAATAATACTCCCAACAACACTTTTGGTTGCTTTTCTTTCCAATAGTGAATTATGTAGCAACAAATGTGTGTTCGCTTTCAAAATCCTTTATCTTGAACATTTGAGATTATTTTCAAGCTTGAAGCTCGTAAACTCCAACTACAATTTTCTCCTAGGTGCTGTAACAAATAATTGTTGGAAAAACAGTAATATACAATCTATAATTTAAAGTAATTTGAATTTAGGTCTTACCTAGTTGAGCTTGATGTCTTGAATTGAAAATGTTTTTAAGATTAGACTGTTTTTTAGTGTAGGGATGAATACATATTTATTCTTATACACTTGATCTTTCTCAAATAAAGAGTGATTAATATTAACAATGATGTCTACTGGTTATAATTATTCTAGCTCATTAAATTCCTCACATGATCCAAAGTCAATTAAGCTTATTGCATCACCAATATCATTAAATGTATTAGAGAAGTACAAATTGTGTATAACCCTCATACTTTTTGGAAGTGTCTGGACATGATAGTGAAACGAGGGCGGAATTAATCTCCAAATTCATTGATGCAGTTGTTGTGACACATAAAAAGTATCTTGACATATCTCGTTGTTCCTTTTTGATTTTGACATATACTTTTGCCCTATTCATTATGAATTTAAATTGGAGAAGACATTTCACCAATTTTATGTCTGATTTCAACTTACTTGTTGATGTGTCTACTAAGAATCGAGCAACAATCATATATAGAAACGGGGGTGACAAATGTTGATTCCATATTTATCAACGCACCATTTACCAAGTAATTAATATGTTTGTTGCTAGACTCCCATCGTTAATTGAAGTAAAACAACACAACTAGATTAGTCATATTTTTCTTGCACATTATTAAAAATGTATTACACAAGTCGAATTTGTAAAAAGAGAATTAAAAAACAAACTAATGAAAAGACCAGAGAGCGGTCTATAGACAAATTAAACTTGTATCTATTATGAATTGAACAAATAATTCAATCATAACAAACTGCAAAATGAATTAAACTTGTATTACACAATATTGAAGTTGAATCAAAAGAGAAAAATTAAGAAAGTATTTAAACAAAGTAACTAATGAAATGACCGGAAAATAATCTATAGATTTAATTAAACTTGTATCTATAACGAGTTAAGCAAGTGATCAAGTCAACAAACTGCAAAATGAATTGAAATTGTATAAAAAGTGTTTTACACAAAAAGTTAAATCAGAAGAGTGAATTAAGAAAGAGATTTAACAAGTAACTAATGAAAAGAAGAGAGAGTTATCTATATATTGAATTAAACTTGTATCCGTTATGAATTAAGCAAGTAATTCAATCATAACAATTTGCAAATCAATTAAACTTATATTAAAAATGTATTACATAATATTAAAGTTGTATCAAAAGAGTAAATTAATAAAGAATTTAAACAAGTTACTAATGAAAACAACATAGTGATCTATAGATTGAATTAAATTTGTATCTATTATGAATTAAGTGAGTAATAAAATGGTAAAAAATCAACCAACAATTTGCAAAATGAATTCAACTTCTATTTAAAAGATGTATTACACAAATTTGAGTTTATTTCGTTGCCTTCCTCATTTATTTTTTGAATGTCGAATCTACCTTTTGATGTTTACACAGGCTTGAAGTATCAATTGTTCTTTGTTTAGTTTGTAATTGCTGATGTTATTATTCAAGTAGGTGATGTTAGTATTCAAATAGGTCTAAGATGTCAAAATCAACTGATATGGTATGTGTGATTGCTTTTTCATTCGAATGGTTTAGTTTTTCTCTGTTTTTGAAGTTTTTTTTTGTCTTACTGCCTTGAGTGACATGTGTGAGCCGTTAGATTCAGATTTTCTTGACCACCTATGGTACATTTTGAATCCAACAACAACATTTTTAACTAGTGAAGTCCCTGAGCTCGTTTGACCTCTTTTGTGCATTATTTATTAGAATCCCATTCATTATATATTTGTGTTACTTAATGTGAATATGATTAGGGTGGAGTGATAATCGTTTAAGAAAAATGTTAAGTAATTAGTCTCGACATGTTTTCATGGTTGTTAAGAGTAGTATATGACTCCTTATTTATTTTTTGTGTGATCACTGGTCTATTATCTCTTTTACATAGAGTCCGAAACTTAAAGAGTACAAAATATTGACAAAAATTTCAAAACGGTATATAAAATTTTAAATTAACCAAAACGGTAAAATCGCTGCAGGTGCAGCGACTTACCTCACCTGAAAAAGTAAAATCGCTACTGAGGCAGCGATTTTGCAAAATTTTTTTTTTAATAAAAAAATGAAATCGCTGCCCAAGCAGCGATTTCAAAATTTTGCTTCTTACAAATCGTTGCCTTGGCAGCGATTTCATTTTATTTTTTAATTATATTTTTTTTTAAAAAATAAGGTATATTGCTGCCATTGCAGCGATTTATATATAAAAAAAAAAATTTCTTATAAAATAAATCACTACTAGTGCAGCGATTTATATATAAAATTTTTTTTTAATAAATTGCTGCCCTGGCAGCGATTTATTTTATAAGTTTTTTTAATAAATCGCTGCCTTGGCAGCGATTTATTTTATATAATTTTTTTAAATTAAATCACTGCAGGAAGCTATTTTTTAAAAAAAAAAATTTAAAAAAATATTAAAACAGCGATTTTATATATAAAAAAATTTATGATATTTTTTAAAATTTAAATATATAACTTATAAGAAAATATACATTATTTTAAAAAAATTAAAAATAAGTAAAGTAATAAATATATTTTCTTTCTAAAAAAAGATATTATATTGAATTTGAATTTAAATAATATTTGAATTAAAATAATTAATTTTTTTAAATAAAAAATTAAAGGCAGCAAAATTATTGAATTTTTTTTTAAAAACAAAATGATATATATATATATATATATATATATATATATATATAAAAGTTAAAGATGATCACATGAGAATAGTAAAAAAATTATTTTTATTTTAAATAGTTGAACAAAGTGGTCACATGTAAATAGTACTAATATACTTTCAATGCTATAAATTGGACTCTAAACCTTCATATTCATATTACTTTCAATCTTCCAATCTACTTTCAATCTTTCAATCTTCCAATCTACTTTCAATCTTCCAACAATCTTAAAATTCTTGTTATTCTTCAAATTTTCTAAAGTTTTTAAAAGCATTTTCTTTATAAGGTTAGTTTAAATTTATTTTATTTTTAATTTATTTTAATTAATTTTATACTTTTATATGATATTGTTGATATATTCAATCGTTTGATACTTATATTAATGTTAATATTTCTTTTTATTTTTTATTTATAGATATGCATCCGTCAAATTTATACGTACATCCTGGTCCAGTAGAGCATGATGTATTAAAAATTCAAGTTCATCATCGTTCCAAAGGAATTTGGAATGGTAGCATAAAAGAAGAGAGGTCTTGCTTATATACGCGTCGTGGTGATATTGAATTTTGGCAACATTTAAAATATCATCCATTACATTCTCGCATCCTTCAATATTTTGAAAATTGTAGATTTAAAGGAATTCTTGATGTTGGATGTGATCCGTCATACTTTTCACATGCGAACTGGCGAGGCTACCGTAACTTTACAAGATATTGAAATTTTATTCGGAATGATAGTAGATGTTAGTCCTATAATTTTAAATGGAGCTGATTCTTTAGGGATTATAGGTAGACAAGAAATGATTTTTCAATTCACAGGATGGTTACCCGATACTAGTTGTTTTTCTGGTGTTAGTAGATTGTTAACATATAAATTGATTGAGTATATCGAAGGTTTGGAAGTTGTTAATGATAACTCAACTGAGCATGAAGTTCAACAAAGATTTAGATTATATTTATTATGGTTATGTGGTGCATCAATATTTCCGGATAAATCTAATAATAAGATTAATTTGGACATTTTGATTGACATGAGAAACTTAGATTTAATGTCAACTCAAGCATGGGGATCGGCCGCATTATCATATTTGTATAATTGTTTATGTCGTGTGTCAATGAAAAAATCAAATGAAGTTTGTGGATTTCTCTCTTAAGTGCAGGTATACATATTTTTTAATTAAATATTTTATATATACTAGTAATATGCACTTTTAAATTTAAGTGCATTATAAGTAATGGTGAATTTATTTATTGTAGATTTGGGCATGGGAAAGAATTATTCCCGTGCAACCATTACCAAAGCCTCTAAGAACCAATCAACTTGAGGCTTCAACTGCGCTTGCACGTAAGTGGACGCGACGTAGAAATTATCAAAATGAGGCACGAACTGTAATAGGTGTGATTAGGGATGTACTAGATAATCTAACTGATGAACAGGTATTTAATATTATTAGTATCTTAAACTATTCATATTTTATTTTATTTTAAATAAGAATATATTTGGTAGATCTTTAAATGACACAATGGTACAAAAAAATTATTTTTTAAGATTGTTCATTTTCACGTAAATATTTTTTTTTCTGCCAATGTTGTTTTTATAATTATCTTACTTAATTATTTTTTTATAGTTTATTTGGCAGCCTTATTCGGAAGATGTTATTAATGGATTGCCTGAGTGGTGTCGGTCAGGACAACGTGTCTGGATGGCACAGGTGCCACTGATTTATGGAATTTATCGTGAGTGGCACATGGTTGATCGTGTTGTGAGACAGTTCGGTTATTTACAACATATTCCAGGACCGTGTACCCAATTTTTCGAATATCATTTTAGGCGTGATAAACGATCCAAAATAAAACAAGAAGATATAGATGCATTTAACTATACACAATATTTATGGGAACAACGTCAAAATCATATATTTCGACCTCCATTTGTAAGTGATCAAACAGATTACTTTCGTTGGTACATGAGGCATACCCGCATGGTAATTGGAAATCCACAACATGTTGTACAAAAAGGGTATCAACACATGGCAGGAAGTCATGAGGCATTAGTATGTATATTATGTAAATTTTAAATTATTATGTCAATCTTTAATAATTTTTTTGTTATTAATATTTGTTTATTCATTATAGGCTAGAGGTCATGAAATGCAGTATCGTCGAGCTCGGATGCTTGAAAATGATGAAAATCAATCTAATGAAATGAGACAATATGCAGAGGAAGTCGCTCGTATTTCAATGAAGTCAATGAATGCGGCCTTTCAGGGAACGCGATTGAGCTTTGATCCTGATTACAATCCTCCCACTCAATACAATGAACCACTATCAGTACAAGTATCTCGCCGATCACGACAAACAACACCGAGAGAGGGTGCTCGTCGAGGTAGAAGGACCGCTGGTGAAACAATTGATTTTTCTGCAGGGCCCTCTAACACTAATGTGGCGACTCCCGAGCCTTATTATCCCACGTTTGATTTTTCTGCAGGACCCTCTAACACTAATGTTAATTTTTCTAGTCAGCAAACAGTTGGTTTTGTAACTCCACAGGTTCCAATATCTGGGTTTGCGTAATTTAGTGGATCTCAATATGGTCTTCAACATGGTATGCGTGAATTTCCTATACATAATTCTCCATTTAGTGGAAGATTGAATTTTTCGAATGTAAGTATAATAATTTTCATACAATTTTTTTAACTTTTTATAATTTTTTTTATTTTTATTGCATGTTTATTTGATTATATTATGTTATATTGTATTATAGGTAACTGTGTTCGATGATTCAAGATTTAATGCTGGGGCTTCACAAAATTTAGTGCTTAATAGACAAAATCCACCTCGGAGAACATCTAGGCTACACAAATCAACTAGATGTGGAACAGGCAGGCACTATCAAAATGAGGAAGATTTTGAAAATGAAGATGAAAATGAAGATGTAGAAGATTCGAATTCAGAAGAATAATTTTTTTTATGCACCTTTATTCTAAAAGGCTGAAGATTCAAATTTTGAAATATGTAAATTTTGTTGTTTCGTGCAAGTTTGAACAAAGTAATGAGATTCTTCCCTTTTTTTTTTTATGTTTGAACAAGTTTGCAGGATTTAATTTTCTTTATGTCATAGGTCAAATCAATACTTTTTATGTTAGGTCAAATCAAGACTTTTTACATTAGGTCAAATCATTATTTTTTTAATAGAGTTCAAATCAACAATATAATAATAATGTAAAGATATTATACGTACAATATTTAAAATGCACAAGACAAATTAAATTCATGTCAAAAAATAAATATAAAAGATATATCATAGGTCAAATCAATACTTTTTATGTCAACATTTTTTTATGTTTGAACAAGTTTGCAGGATTTAATTTTCTTTATGTCATAGGTCAAATCAATACTTTTTATGTTAGGTCAAATCAAGACTTTTTATATTAGGTCAAATCATTATTTTTTAATAGAGTTCAAATCAATAATATAATAATAATGTAAAGATATTATACGTGCAATATTTAAAATGCACAAGACAAATTAAATTCACGTCAACAAATAAATATAAAAGATATATCATAATATTAATAACAAGATAATAAAAACACATTAACCTTAAAAACATAGACAAAATATTTAAAATCGAGTAGGACATCGTGCCTTTGTGTGACCTGTCTCCTTACAAACACTACATTTTCTAGTCATGCGAGCCGGAGCTATATCCATATCGTTCTTAAGTCGGCTTCTTCCTTGCGTACCACTTGTCCGCAAATATTCAGTATTTTCAATTAAATTAAAAGGAGCTGGTGGCCAATACATTTCATCACCCACTAGATTAAATGTCTCATTGTATGTTCGTTTGTAATATTTTGCACTGTAGAATTTACTTACATAAGATTTTGGCTCGATTCCGCGAATTCCACAAAATTTGATGGCATGCGAACAAGGCATATGATAGTTTCTCCATTTTCCACAAGAACATTTCTTACCTTTTGCAGTACCTTGTGGACATTTCCACCTTTACCATCATGAGCAAAAGTAAGAATTTCAAAAACTCCATCACCTGTGTTGTAAGTCATCATATCTGTGTGCCCTTGAGCTCTTTGATAATAATCATTAAAAATTTTTTCTATTGCAAGAGGCCATGGCATATTACTTTGAAGTAATGCAATTGCAAGATTGTTTCTTTCGACAAAACGATCAATGAGAGCTTTGAACGTCATTCAAACGATGGCAGTCACAGGAAGCCCCCGAGCTTTTTTCAATAAACCATTATATGACTCAGACACATTTGTCGTCATGGCACCCCATCTACGACCACCATCCTTATACATTGTCCATTTTTCCAAAGAAAATTCATTTAACCATTCATATGCTGCAGGAGACAATGTTTTGATTTGTTGCATCCGTTGCATAAATTTTTTCTCCTGATGCTCAGTAGC